AGAAGAAAGGATGGGGAGTCTTGGACATGTTATTAAAAAAGACCAGTCCCTGGAAAAGGATATCATGCTTGGTAATATAGAAGGGCAGTGAAAAGAGGAAGCCCCTCGACAAGATTCATTGACACCATGGCTGAAACAATGGGTTCAAACATAACAACAATTATAAAAATGCTGCAAGACTGGGCAGTGTTTTGTTCTGTTGTACACAGGGTCACTACAAATCAGAGCTGATTTGATGTCACCTGACGACAACAACCACAACAACATGAGCAAAAAAAATTGAACCACTACAAAACACATCAAAAGATTAGTGAAGGAATACTATGGCAAAAATAATATTTTTCTTTTACCTTCAGGAGGCACTATTTTATCAAGAATAGATACTATTGAAAGAAGTCCAAGCTGCTCTGAAGGCATTTGCACAAAATCAAGGTCCCAGGACTTGACAATACCAATTGAGATATTTCAACAAACAGATGCAATACTAAAACCCCTCAAACATCTATAGCAAGAAACTTGGAAGACAGCAACATGGCTAATAGATTGGAAAACATCCATTTTTGTGCCCATTTTAGAGAAAAATAACACAATAGAATGTGGAAATTATTAAACAATATCAGTAACAAAACAAGCAAGCAAACTTTTGCTAATGATCATTCAAAAATGGTACACCATCACGTTGACAGAGAACTTCCAGTAATTCAAGCTGGATTCTGAAGAGGACATGAAAAAGGAATATCACTACTTATCAGATGGATGTTGGCTGAAAGCAGAGATTGTCAGAAAAATGTTTACCTACATTTTCTTGACTATTCAAAGACTGTGCACATCCTAACAAATCATGAATAATGTTACAAACAATTGGAAATTCAAAACACATAATCGCACACATGAGTAACCTGTTCATAGACTAAGAGACATCCATTTGAACAAACACGGGGACACTGCGTCATTTAAACTCAGACACAGGGTATTGGACCTTCCACCATACTTATTCAATCTGCATGTTGTGCAAGTAACATGAGAAGCTGGGCCAATTAAAGAAAAACATAGCATTTGGAAGAAGGCTTTTAAAAGCTTATCATGTGTAGATGACATAATCCTGTTTGTTGAGAGCAAAGAGGATGTCACACAATTCCTGATAAAGTTCAAAGACTACAACCTTCAGTGTGCTTTACACTTTATCATAAAGACAATAAAAACCTCAAAACTGAACCAAGAAACTGCATCATGATAAATTAATAAAGCATTGACATTGTCAAGGACACCATGTCACTTTCTTGGATCCTTATTCTATGCCCAAGGAAGCAGCAGTCAAAAAAATCAAATGTAACATTGCAATGGACAAACCTGCTGCCAAAGCCCTCCTTAAAGTGTTCCAAAAGGAAAGACGTCACTTTGATTCCTAAGGTGCTCTTGATATAATCTATAGCCTTATATGCATGGAACAATGAATACAGAAGACCAGAATTAATGCCTGTGACTTGACTTAGAGTTGTGATGAAGAATATTACAGGCCCTATGGACTTCCAGAAGATCAAGGGAAATCACTTTTGGGGAACATAAAGCTATTAGTTCAGGTCCATTTTACAGTCCCTGTGCCCATTTGGTAGTGATTTCCCCAGCTCCAGAATGCGTAAATAGAATAGACAGACTCAGCAACTGGTAGAATCCCTATAGTTGATCTCTGACATTTGGTGTATTGTCATAGGACAAGAAAACTGGAAGCTATTGAAACTCCTAGTAAAATAATCAATCCAAAGCCATGCTGAATTCCTGGAGGGATTCCCCTGATTACTCCTACCATTAAGGGCTTGAAGGATGCAAGGGTAGTGATGCCAAGCACATCCCTATTTAAGTTGCTTATTTGGCCTACAGAACAATGAAAAGGTTCTCCAAGGATGACAGTGAATTATGTTCTATTTAACCAGGCATTGACTCCAATTGCAGCTGCTTTTTCTAGACTACGTTTCATTGCTTGAGTAAATAAATACAATACCTGAAACGTGGTATACAACTATTGATCTGACTAATGCCTTTATCTCAATTCCAGTTTCAAAGGATCCAGAGAGGCAGTATACCTTAAGCTTACAGGACCAGGAATACATTTTACCATTTCACGTTGAGTAAATCTTCAGAACTATGTCATAATTAGTCTCCAGGGCCTTGATTTCATTTCCCTTCAACAAGAAGTCATATTGGTCCATTTAATCAATGGAATTATGCTAATTGCGCCTACTAAGGATAATTGATTCTAGGCATATTGGTTTGTATGGGAGAGGATGAGAAATTATCCAGACCAAAATTCAGGGCCTTCCACCTTAGTGGAATTTCTAGGGTTTCAGTATTGTAGGATATACTGTGACATTCCTTACAAAATAAGGAATGTTGTTACATCTGGAGTCTCCAACCACTAAAAAGAGACACAATGTCAGGTGGGTCTTTTTGGATTTTTGAAGTCAACATATTATTATTACTGCTACTCTGGCCTAAATGTCAAGTGATTTGAAAAGTCTAATTTTGAGTGGGACCAAAAACCAGGCTTTGCGATAGGTTTAGGATTCTGTATGAGATGCTCTGTCCCATGGGCTGTATGATCTATATGAGCAATGGTGCTTCAAGTGTCAGTGGAAGACACAGATACTATTTGGAGTCTTTAGCAAGTCCATATTGCTGAATCACAGCACAGACTATTAGGATTTGAGAACAAGCCCTGTTATCCTCTTCAGATAACTACTCTCCAGAGAAACTGTGTTTGACTTCTTATTGAGCCTTAATAGAGAAGGAACATCTACCTATGAACCACCAAGTCACCATGCTTCCTGATCTATCCTCATGAATAAGGTGTTGTCTGCCCCGTGAGTCACAATGTTGGATGCAAATAACAACAGTCAGTCTTTAATTTGAAGGGCTATGTGTGAGATAAAGTTCAATAGAATGATAAAGTTGGATGAAAACATTAGCCCCCAGTAATTGAATGGAAGTGGTACATATAAGATCAAGCTGGACCCGGACCAGGACCTGAAGGCACAAAGAAGTTGTATGAAGAAGTGACCCAAATGCCTCTGGTTTCTACTCCTGAAATGTTAACTTCCTTCTCCAACTATGCACCTATAGCCTCACAGGGAATCCCTTATGATCAGTTGATATTGACTTCCATAGTAGATGGACAATTATCTAGACCAAAATTCAAGTGCTTTTCACCTCCCTGAAAAAAATGTGCCTGCTTACTGATACGGCGTCATCTGCATGATAGTTCAGCAGGCAGGCACCACGAGAAACTGGACAGCAGCAGCACTGCAGTCCCTTGAGCTAACCTCCCTGGCAGTAGTGAGGGGGAATCCTCCCAACAAGAATGTCTTTGAGCAATGCACGTGGTTGTTCACTTTGCTTGGAAGGAGAAATGGTCCAGGCATGTGTTGTATAGTGATTCGGTGGGTTGGACTTTGGTTTGACTGGCTGGTAAGTGACTTGAGAGAAACATGATTGCAACATCATTGAGAAGCTCTGTCTCATGTGAATGTACACCAATGTTCCGCAGAGGAGGATTTGATCAAGTTGATAGAATAACATGCTATGTTGAAACTTCTTTCCTAGCTACTCCTATCAGTGCCCAGTGAACTCCTGAAAAAAGTGACCAGGGAGGTTAGGATGGATGTTATGCTTGGACTCAGCCACATGGACTGCATTTACTAAGGCCATGTTGGCTAAACCTCTGCGGTGTGTCCACCCTTCCAGCATCAGAGCCAAACACTGAGTCTTCAATATGGAAGCACTCCTCAGAGAGATCATCCATCAAATTGGCAGCAGGTTGATGACATTAAACCACTTCCATCATGGAAAGAGCAATATTTTGTTTTTATTGAAAGAAACTCATACAGATTTCCTTTGCTACATGTAAATGATCTATATTGGGCAGGATAGGTTGGTTTATGCTGCAGTAACAAATATACCCACTTCAATAAAAAAATTTCAATAATTTTCAATAACAAAATTCCCTGTCCATTGTCATGTTATCCCCCACACCATTTCTTTGGATGAAAGAACTCACTTCACAGCAAAATAAATGTGGTAACGGACTAATTCTAATGGTATTCCCTCATGTGACGATGGTCCCCATCATACTTAAGCAGTAGGCTTGATATAATCATCGTCTAAAGACAGAACTACAGCATCACTAGGCAGCACTACTCACAGGATTGAGATAATGTTCTCAAGGAGGCTGTACAGGATCTAAACCTGTGTCCAAGCTCTGGTTCTGCTTTTTCCAATAGCTGGAATTCATGAGTCCAGAAACTAAGGAGTGGAATGACTATGGTCATGCTCACAATTACCCTTAGTAATTGTTTTCGCTTGCTATTCCTGGAGTCTTATATTTTTCAAGTACAGAGATCAGTTGTTTGGCAGTTATGGTATAGTCATTCCCTAATTTGAAATATGATATGATAACTTCCATGATGAAATATGCTATGAGCAGCCAATCAATTGAAAGAATATTTCATTCAGGGTATGACCTACATCCAACATATATTGACTCCTGGTTTAGCTTTTGCTAAAGAAAATGCTTCCAATGCCTTTGGACCAAAGGATTTTTAGCCAATTGCTATGGCTATGACAACAATTAGTAAAAACCAAATTTCCAGTAAAGTCCTGAGTAAAATCTCTTGTTGACAAGGGAGAGGGAAACAGTCATTGATTAAAAAATAAACAAGGCAGTTGGCAACATTTTACATTTTAAGCTAAAAGTTTTTCCAGAGTTTTACAGGAGAAGTTCTTGAACATTTAGTCTTAAAAAGATATCATCATCACCATATAAACAGACTATAGTGCCCTGCCCTTTCCAAGAGTCGTATAAATACCAACAGGCAGACACAAGCAAGCTGTGAGCCTGTGAACTTACTTTGGTGCCTCAAGTGCATAACATCATGGATATCAAAGAATATTATTTGGGTTTTTCTGTGTCTTTTCTATAGTTAATGATCCCTGTTTCTTTATCTCAGGTGCCTATCCTCGACTTTCATTGAGCTTTCGATTGAAGAGAAATATTGGATACTTCATCCTTCAGACATACATGCCTTCTATACTGATTACAATTCTATCCTGGGTGTCCTTCTGGATAAATTATGATGCATCTGCTGCTAGAGTTGCCCTTGGTATGTGTTATTTTTAAACAATGTAGGTAAATGTAGGTAAAGATATCATTACAGTTTCTAGAGAGGTCAAAATTATACTTCAATGGCAATTGTTTTATTTTTAATTATTATACCAATATTGCCTATATAGTCTCATTTTATCTTGAAATAATAACTTTGTGCATGATTCTTTTGATGTGGTAATTATCAGTCTCAGAGATGAGTTTTGATGCCTATGAAAGAAAATATACTTACAGGATATTTGCATAAAGCATTTTTTTACACTAATGTTAAAATAAATATTAGCATCTTCTATTTCAAATTATTCTATGGCCTGGAAAGAAGACTTATTATTATTTTTCAACTAAAAAAAAGCACATAGTATGTAATTGGAATAATATTGATAAAATATGTAAGTAGATGCTGAGTGATCCTCAATATGTCTAGAAATATTTCTCGGCCATATGACATTTGGATTATTAGCTTACATAGAATAAATATTCCATATTATAATTTTTCCTAATTATATTTTTGGATTGAAATGCTTTATCTTCCATTAAGCTAGTTATTTTGAAACATATCAACAGAGTAATATTTTAAAGCATAAATATTTTATAACTATGGCTAAAGAACCATTATCCTGTTTATCACTTTCTTAAGGTAGGAATACAACAAGCTCACTACCATTCAGTTGATTCTTAATCTTAGCAACTATTTAGATCAAGGTAGAACTGCCCCTGTGAGTTTTTAAGACTATACTCTTCATGGGAGTGGAAAGCTTCATCTTTCTCCTGTAAAGGAGCTGACAGTTTCAAATTACTCACCTTGTGATTAGAAGCCCAGCACATAACCACTAGGCACCAGAAGAGATTGAATTCAAGACAATTAGATTTCCTGCATTACTTTTTAAATTAAGGGAAAAGAATTTTCAACATGTACAGGTAAAATAGTATAAGAATCGAGAGTTACAGTATCCCCTCTTTCTTCCCTTTTCTGTTTACCATTTTTTACCCAGAATTATAAACCAAGTGAATTTTTTTTTCTAAGAGAATATGTGTACCTATGTATATGTGTATCTCTAGTTTAGGGTCACTGATGTGACTGGCATACCTCCACTGAAGATTACAGTTTTTTATTGTTGTCTTTTGCTTTTTCAGGAAAGAACAAGCGTTTAGATTTTAAGAAAAGTCTAAAGTTGTTAGGTGAATTAAAATTTCTTGAGAAGAGTTAACTATCAAAATCTAAAAGTCCTGTATTAATCATTAAGTAATGGCTGTAGTAAATAGACACACACACACACAAAGGTTGCCCAAGAACATACGTGCCTATGTGGGAGTAACCCCCCAAAAAACAGAAAACAACTCCTCAGGGTGGAGCTTTCATAGTCTGCATACTTCCCACTAGGTGAGCATCCAGCAACTCATTCTGAGTTAGTGCACTCCGTGGCATTGCCTGGGAAGGTTCTTTCTGGTCACAGTGAATTTTTTTTCATGAAAGCAGTTTTGCTCAAACCTCTTTTTTTTTGTTTGTTTGTTTTGGCCAATTTAAGAGAACAGTGGGAGGCTATGAAATTCTGTTTCCTTCTCTGGAAAAATGCTGCAGAAACTGTTGTGATGTTGAACACAGATTACAAGGACAGTGCTATGGGAAAAACTCAAGTGTACATGCAAGTGGTTTTCTTGTTTCAAAAAGGGTGAAATGTTGATTGATGAAAAACCGCATTCTGGATGTCCATAAACTTTCCAAATAGATGAAAATGTCAACTCATAGTGCATTTGGAGTTCGTTCCACCAGGTCAGACTGTTAATCAAGCTTTCTACAAGGTTCTGAAAAGATTGCGTAATCGTGTGCAACAAAAAAGGCCTGATTGGCCTTTTGCCACCATGACAATGCACCTGCTCATGCATCCATCTCAGTGCACCACTTTGGCCCCAAACAGCATGCCTCTCTTGTTCCATGCACCTTATTCAACTGACCTCACTCTGTGTGACTTCTTTTTGTTTCCGTGAAGTCAGAGGAACATGAAAGGACAGTGATTTGATGACATGGAAGAGGTGAAGAAAAAAGGAAGGGAGGGGCTGTCAGCCATCCAAACAGATGAATTAAAAAACTGTGTCCAAGAATGGAATCACATATTTGACAAATGCATTAAGTGTAATGGAGAGTAATTTGAAGGTGATAGGTTGTTTTGTAAAAAAACAAAACCATTTAAATACTGTATATCCCCGAGTATAAGCCAACTGGAATATCAGTTGAGGCACCTAATTTTACCACAAAAACTGCATGAAAAATGTGCTGAAAAAACTTGGCTTATACACGAGTATAGACGGTAGCTTTCAAAAAAAATTACGTTTTTTGGGGGGTACCCCCTCATATTTCTTTATGTAGGTTTTACCTTTTTCTCTCTCTTTTTAATGTGACTAAGTTATTCTTTCTTAAACTGCTTTTCTTCTCCCCTGGAATATTCAGGGAAAGAAAATTAATTTACAGGGACACATTCAAATTTTATGGAACTGGTAGGGATATAATTTAGGGGCTTGCTTTACAAAACAAAATGTACACATACAAAGTTTCTGGGATAACTCCTCCTGCCATAGAAGGACTTATGCAAGGAGAAAGCTGTGATGGAGGCTCCCTTAACCTCACATAGACTTTGTTCTAGTGAATTTTTCTGTACTGGGACAACTAGAAAAGTGTCCTGGTGGCTCTGTGGGATAAGCATTAGGCTGCTAACTCCAAAGTTAGTGGTTTAAACACACGTTGTTCCCCAGAAGAAAGAGGAGATTGTCTGTTTCCGTAAAGTCTTAGTCTCAGGAACACTATATAAAATGGCAATGAGTTAGAATTTACTTGATGGAAGTACATGTGGTTTGACTGCGACAGCTAGAGAAAGATATATACCAAAAAATAGAGGTGAAGCGTACTAAAAATTTGAGTCTCTAACTTTTCTATATAGTAGAGGTCTTATTCCTCTTATTTGTATAATGTTATTGGCCTGCCACAGAATATAGAATCTATCTGAAGTGAGCAACATTCAACCCAACCTCAGTTCAGCGTATGAAAGAAGATCACACGTTTTATTATGACACAATATAGCCATAAGCCTGATGTCTCATCCAGGATTTGTTGGGACCTAAGAATGTTCCATGCCATACTGTGAAGACTGTAAGAGAGGGCTGCACTCCGGCCAGTGTCTGAGGGATGTCAAGGTCTTGAGATAAAAGTGACAGTGAGGAGTGGCTGACTTCAACAGCATCAGAGGACATTGCAGCCCAGGAAGCCAAAGCCAGCCAGGATCCTAGGGTATGGAGCCTGACATACAAGTGTCGTGAGGGAAGCAGGCTTGGCTTGGAACATCCTCACTCCTGCCTTCCTCCTTCTATTTTGCAGCTTGGGCCTGAGATGTGGTTAACTTTTACTGGTTGAATAGCAAGAGTATTAACAACAACAACAAAAATAATGATTACAGTAATAGTGGCTGAAATGCATCAAATACTCACGTTCCAGTTTCCCAGCTGAGACTACTCACATAGTTCTCTCATAGAATCCACTGACAGCATATCATTGTTACTATTTTACAACTTGGCCAGTGAGGTACTAGTACATGTCACATAATTACTAAATAATAGAAAAACTATTTCAATCCCATTAATTTAACTCATGACCCTCTTCCTTAGTCACTAGAAGTAATTCTGAACATATCAATAGACACTAAAGGGAAGCGGAAGAATTTAACCTAATAAAAATAAGTAAAATATTCCTACAATTCCAGCTCATACTTGCATGCATGGGTTCATTCATAATAATGATGATAATAATAATAGAAGCATGTTTAAGTTTGTCTTTGAAGCCAGTGGATAGATGCAGACAAGTTCTCTCATGAATACACTTGTCGTAGTCTTATTGTTATTGTTAAGCGACATCAAATTAAACACTACTCTCCCCCATCCTTAAAATAATTATGTCTGAGCCCAAAGTTGCAGCCATCTGTGTCAATACATCTTGTCAAGGGACTTCTTTTTTTCTGACTCCCCACCAAGCTTGAGGATTACCCACCCACCCATTTCCGCTCTGTAATAGTTTCTTCTGGTATCATGTCCAAAGTATGGTGGACAGAAACTCATCATCCTTACTTCCAGGTGTTCTGGGTGTCTTTCTTCCAAGATATATTTGTTTGTTCTTCTCACAGACCATAGTACTTTAAATGTTCTTCACCAACATTGTCATTCAAATGCGTCAATTCTTCTCTAGTCCTACTTAGTCATTCTCCAGTTTTCACATGCAGATGAGATGATTTGGTCAGGCGCATCTTAGTCCTCAAACTGTGCTCTTGGCTCTTCGACACTTGAAAGAGCGCTTGTGCAGCATGGCTGTCCAGCACCACCTATTTTGTTTCTCACTTGCCACTTCCGTGGACATGCCTGTGGATCCAAGTAAAATGAGCTCCTTAACAACTCCATGTTTTCTTCGATTACCTTGCCGCTGGTCAGTTGGTTCAGCTGTGACGATTTTTGTTCTCTTCGCCTTGAGTTGCAATCCACGAGGGTGACGGGTAAGAAGACCCAATCTAACTAGCGGCTTCTGAGGTCATGTCCTCAGCCAGTTACATTCAAGGCAAAGGGGTCATCTTAGAAGATCCCGGATACTGTTTTCTGGGATTCCAAGGACACCGACCTGCTGGCTCTTCCTCAAAGAACATGGGAAGGTCACAGAGAGCTTATACTGAAAACGTTTTCAGAAAATCGAGAATGGCATTTATAAGAAAACTATAAGGAAAGTGTGTTCAAGAATTTTTCCCATCACAACAATGTAATTGTTCATTCTTCAAGAGTAGCAAGAGCTCTCCATTTATAATTTCATTGAGAGACTTTCCCTTAGGACTTTTTGAGTTCCCCAAGGAAACCCAAAGCACTGTTTTGTGTGGTGTAAATTGAAGGTGAAAGAACGCTGCAACATTCTTTGGGGAAGCAGTAGAGTGGTGGAAACCCTGCCGTCAGCAGTGTATAGACTTAGATGAAGGATACGTCAACAAACAACAGCTTTACATTTTGATATTTTCATTTCATAGAGGTTTCTATGATTTAAAAAATACAGTTTCGTTTACCCTTATACATGTGAGATTTCAATTTTTTTAAAAGATAAAGAAGATATGATCAAAATTATCTTTATTTATATTTATTTATTTATTATAAAAATCATTTTATTGGGGCTCGTACAACTCTTATCACAATCCATACGTCCATCCATTGTGTTATCTGTATTGACCCGTTCCTGAGGAAGGACATGATGCTTGGTAAAGTAGAAGGGCAGAGAAAAAGAGGGAGGCCTTCTATGAGATGGATTAACACAGTGGCTGAAACAATGGGCTCAAGAACAGGAAGAATTGTGGTGATGGCACAGGACTGGGCCCTCTTTTGTTTTGTTGTGCATAGGGTCACTGTGGGTTAGAACCAGCTCTATGGCACCTCACAGCAACAGTGGTATTTGTTATGGCCTTGCTCAGAATGTTGAAGATGCTGGCATGCTCTGATTTCTGAAGAGGACCTGGCTGACTATTACCTAATAGATGATGCACTGCCTGCCTGTAAGTGGCTGATGTGCTATAAGTGCAGTTATGCCGACTGTGGTCTTAGGTGTATTGCATCTGTACAGAAGAGCAGAGATCGCTGTGTGTGCTATCCTGCCAGTTCAAGCTGCTGTAGACATTCAGTTGAGGGGCAGCTTGAGCTCACTCTGCTTCTACAATGGAGAACAAGATGCTACGCCTACAGGTAGCTGTGCTGTGCAGCTGATGCCTGCACCTCACAGTTTTGAGGTGCTCACTGGCCACACATTGAACCTCAGTCAGTTTTAGGGATTAGTATTGAAGTCATCACACTGCAAGGTTGGAAGGGGACTCAATGGTATTACTCAAAAGTCTGAAATCTAGTATCAGTGAATAGCAGCATCAGTACTTAGCATATCCTAATGTAATTTAGATCACATTATTTCTATCACAAAGTGGAGACATAAAACATATACTAACTAAATAATACAACTAAATTAGTTTTATTTCACAGTCATCTTTATGAATTCAGTTTTACAAATATAATCTTTCATTAATACAAAGTAAACAAGATAATTTAAGGCTAGCAATTAGAAGAAAAATTCCAGCTTGGAAAAGCATGAAGAAATCACAACCTTGGCA